GAAAAGAACATCTCATGTGTTGGAAATGCGTAAATAGTACGCTAAACCTGAGCAATCCTGTTGTTTCAGATGGTTCATGGGAGGAGTATTAGCCGGTGTCTTCACATGCTCATTGATGATAACCATAGCTTGTAAGTAACCGTTTCCCAAATTATTGCTCTGATTCCTGCATTTCATTTCAATTGTGGTCATTTTTAAATAATTTTAAAATATTTTCTCTCTCACCTAAGATGTTGTCAAATCACTGATTCTCCACCTTGCCAGTTATGTTGAAGACACCGCCTGTGCTCAGTAAGTGTTGCCCGTGTTGCCAGCATTGTCTGGAAAGATGACTGTAATCTTATATGAGAATGGCTTTTGCTGCATAATAGTTGGTGGTGACTACATGCTGGAAAAGTCCTGATTATTCATCCTGCAGAATGTATTCTATTACTGCTAAAACCTCATAGTTTTATCATCCTGCCTCCTAAATTCTTACACCAAAAATAGAATCGTGTTGCCAGCATTGTCTGGAAAGATGACTGTAATCTTATATCTGAGAATGGCTTTTGCTGCATAATAGTTGGTGGTGACTACATGCTGGAAAAGTCCTGATTATTCATCCTGCAGAATGTATTCTATACTGCTAAAACCTCATAGTTTTATCATCCTGCCTCCTAAATTCTTACACCAAAAATAGAATTAATATCTAAAACAGTGGGACTTAGAAAATAATATGAAGAGAAGTGTCCTTTTATATCATTTTAAAGTGCTTTTATAGATTCATAGCACTGCACTTTATAATTACCTCATGTTAAAAGACCTTTACCTTTTAATTTCCAAATGCTGGCAAACTGCCCATGAAACTATCTCAGTTATAGACTGTGACTTCTCTGCCCTCTCTTACCAATTAATGATCCCCCTGTGTGCTGACTGCCATGGTTCAGCCTATTTCAAAGGGTTACTGGGGTCTGGGTGAGATGCTCACAGAATTTCAAGCCGTCATCGTATTGCAACATGGACTGTGTTAATTATCTTCATTTCAATATGGCTGCCAGAGGCAAAAACTCCCATGGCGTGGAGATTGAGGTCTGTAATTCACTATGACTCTCTTGATACTGTTACCCTGTTTATGAAATTTTTCTGTTGATTCCAAAATCAGAATGGGGTTGAAGAAGATCTATTTTGTTCAGGACTCTAGCCAATACTGATTTACTGACACTTTGAGTGATGTTTCCCATAATTTCTAGGCATTCCAGGTTTCTGGATGTGGACATTAATGTAGCTAAGTTTTGTTTAACCTCATAACTAGAAAATTGGGTCTTGGCATCACCCAAGAAATCCTTATTCTTCAACCATTAGAAATTAATGACATTTGTTTGAAAATTCTAAGATATCCACATCCCTCTCTCTAGCTGCAGGTCACTCTCTAGGGCTGTGCACAGGCTTAGAGGTGTATCTTGCACAGTGTTATAGAAGTTCACATGTGTGCTCACCTTCATGGACTGAGATAACATGCTAGTTAGGACTAGACAAACTGATAACATCTAGACAAAAGATTTTCACCCAAAGAGCCATTTTGTTACCCAATTTTCAGAAATGAAAACATTATTATGGTTGGTCAGACAATGCAAACTGTGTGAAACTCTTCTCTCTGGGTTTTAAGATGAGCATGTACAATTAATCAGAAAGACAAGTATCATCTTGTTAGGAAGCTCTGTAATAAGAGCAGAGTTTCTCAAAGTGTGGCATGGGGACTTTGTGCTCTAGAATTAACTGCGGAGCCTGTTTAAAGAGCAGATTTCTAGATCCCAACTCCAATCCTTCTGAATGAAAATTTCTGAGAGGGTTTTTATTTTTAACCACTTCTCCAGGTAATTCTTTGCAAAATAACTGACAATCTTGGAAAGATGATTTCTAGTAAATTTGCCCCATGGTTTCTAAAGTGGCATCACTTAACTTATCAAATCTTTACTGAGAACTTATGATATATTCTATACCATACGGGGTTCCCAGTTAAGATCCGCCAACATTTACAGAGTCTCTACCATGGGCCAAATACCATTGCAGGGTGCCGAGGTCACAGTGCTAAGGCGTGTGGTGGCCTCAAGATTTCTGAGTCCAGTTAAAGTGACAGACATGTAAATGGCAAGGTGAAATTGCTTTTTTTATGATAGGTGCAAACACAGAATTAGCACAGAGGCCATAGGAAAACCTGGAGGAAGGTTTCCCCAGGATAGGAGGGATGGGGAGCAGGGCAGGGAGGGCTTCCTGCAGGAGTTATATCACCTGTTATTTTCTCAGCAACTCCCACTGTTCTGCACTCATGTTTGTTCTCTTTTGAGAGAAATTGCATCAGGATCTTTCTATCCTAATAATCACTCTCATCTACAGCCTCATTTATGGAATAAGATCCCTTCTTGGACTATTTGTGTGTATATTTATTTGTATACTTGTTCTTCTCTTGTTCCCTCTCCATTTTTTTTCCTGTTTCCTGCCTACCCGGCCTCATATAAACACATGATTGCACTTAAGACAGACCTGTAAAAACAAGGTCTATTGACTTAGTTTTTGTATCCACCTCAATGCCTTGAAAAGAGTAGGTACTCCATAAATATTTATTAAATCAAATATATTTGCTGCATCATTTCTTGAAGTACTTCAAAGCTAAGAGCTCTGCCTGTATATTAAAGATTTTGCAAACCCCCTGCTCTTACATAAACATACCCAGAAGTTAATAAGCCAAAGACATAGTTATTAATATCAAGAGTCAAGAATGACTCATAAGTTTCCTCTGACAATCAGTGATGAAAAACTAAGGAAGGGGAGGGCAAGCACTAAATTCAGTTCAGCAAACACTGATGCAGGAGATTTCCAGCAGCCATACTGCTCTGTGCAGTGTTAAAGTAGATTAGGTGTCTCTTCTTTAGCACTTCTTAGATTTCAAGTCATACCTCTTTTCATAACATAATGCAATTTGTATTCAACTGCCTTCCTCATTAAAACTAAAGTCTGACTGTAGGGACCACGTATCTTGTTCACCATTGACCTGAATGTCATTTGCAAATGCAGGTCAGCACAAGTATTCCACGTTGCCAGTAATATGTTAGCATCAGTGCTGCACATTTTGCAGATTTATGGCTTCCTAGTAACGAAATGAGTAACATCTGTTCTCTCTACTCTTAAATGAAGGAATGTATGTGCATACACTTGGTGAATGAATGAATAAACTTCAGGGAGTAAAACTATGGGGAAAATTCACATGTTACCCTGTAGGCTGTTCTACAGTGGGTGGTGCAGGTGGGGAGAGAAAGCAACAAGAGACGGTGGTTACCAAGCTGGGCTGAGGGATTGCAACCTCTGTAGCCTTCAGTGGAAAAGGAGAGTACTAACTACTGCTGGGGAAAAACAAAAGTAAAAATTTATTCTAAGTCGAGGTTATGCTCTTCCTACTTGTAATCATTCAAGCCAGTTGTGTATGTGTGTGTGTGCATGTGTATGTGTGTACATGCACACAGTGATTAGATACTGCATTTCTTGTGTATGTAGATGAACTATGCATTTTTCTTCTTTCTCTGATCTAGGTCTGCCAAAATTTGACAAGCAGTTAGGAATGCGTCTGATGAATGTCTTGAATCTGAATATCTGGAAATTGTCTGACTTGCTGTCTACTTGGAATCAGCTGGTTTATTGAAAGGCAGTGAGCAACTGGATAATTGGAAAAACAAACATTTTAATTTGGCTATGTTATTTTTAAAAATCTCAGTTTTCCCTTCATAATTGTAATATGCTTATAAAAATAATATTAATTTACACTTCCTTTGCAAACACTGGCAGCTGAGAGCAAAGGACTGGGGAATGTGGTAGAGAACAGGCCACGTGGAATAAACGTTCTCCTATTGTTTCCTAAGGCAGTGCGAAAATAATATTAATTTACACTTCCTTTGCAAACACTGGCAGCTGAGAGCAAAGGACTGGAGAATGTGGTAGAGAACAGGCCACGTGGAATAAACGTTCTCCTATTGTTTCCTAAGGCAGTGCTTCTCAAACATTAATTTTTATTAGAGAATTCTGTGAGGAGCTTGTAACAGTGCAGATTCCTGGGCTACTTAATTGCTTTAGTTGAACAATGAGAACAAATTTATATAATCAATACCAACATGAAAGTAAATAAAAATGGTTTGTATATACAATATAATGTTGTAAAAGTTCATCATTCTCCCCAAAGGAGAGGCTTGGTATTAGGAGGTGACAGTAGGCAATGGCTGATGGAAAACAGGCCAGAGCTGATAAACGATAAATGCATGAGATGCTGGATTCTCTAAATACCCTGATTTGATCATTATACAACATATATGTACAGAAACATCAAATTTATACTTCATAAATATGTACAATTACAAT